AGGGGGGGGCAGAGCACATAAGTTACAAGTCCTTATGTTGATAAGCTCTCCGATGAACTTAGTATTGCCAAGTAAGAAGACAGACTGCTAAAATATCGGCAAACAATTAACATATTGTTCCAGAACACCTAAGAAGCGACCTGAATGCCTTAATACCTTAATATTAGTACCAAGTCAGATAACTGGACACCACTTCCTTTAACTGTCAGTTCTGCAAAATCAGTAATGAAAATATAGCTTTAACTCAATCATTTGTAGAGTCTGTATGTACTATAATTAACCCCCTTAATAGTGAACCATACCTGTGGTGAAATGGCCCCCAGGGATGTAGAAAGATCCAACCATGATACCAACAATGGCAGCAATTTTGAAGAACCAAAACCTATTAAAATATTTAAAAAATGCATTTATGACGTGCTAATTTTCACCCTTACAGTGAGAAAATGAATTTCTAAAATGCAAAAATAAGCCTTAGTAGCATTTTCAACATGACTCAACTTAGATCTTCATCTGAATGAAGCTACTTCATTCAATATTTCACACAATTTAAGATCAAATAGCACAGAGAACAGATCATTCACACTAAGAGGAACATGTATCCTTAGAGTGTCCCTACTTTTAGCACTTAAAGATAGGAACTTTTCTAGAATTCCGAAGTGTAGAACACTAGCAATGTGACGTAAATATAGGGCAATTAACTATTAGATCTAGGGAAAAGTAATCACCCAATCCTTCTTTTACAACATAGGATGTAAGTGCCTTGCTCACAATTACACAGTTCGTCACTGGCAAAGCCAAGACCAAGTCTTTAAAGACTCCTTGTATGACAGAGTGAAAAGAATCAGGCTTTGGAGCTGGACAGACCTGAATTTTAATCTCAGCTCCAACCCTCACTGGCCGAGATCTCAAGCAATTTATATAACCTCTCTGAAATTTAGTTATTGCATCTGTAAAAAGGAGATTATAAAGTTTACAAAACTCCCTTCAGTCTTTAAATGAGAATTAGGGGAACTGGGGGCCAGGAATGGAAAGCAATAGAATGTGTAAATCAGTGGCCCAAATATATTCACTGTTTATCTTTCTGTATATTGTTTAAATATATCATGCACAAGGTTATCTTTTAACAACAGAAAGGAAAAAAAGTGTGTGTGGAGCCTAGCACCGTGATTAACTATTACATAGGTGTTCAATAAAAATCTAGAAACTTGAAACAAAAGGCATTTTTTAAAAAAGATAAGACTCTCCTCATCCCCTCTACCTCCTCCAATGTTACGGGTCTCCAACTGAAAATGACGCTGAAACAATTTCACATGTTAATGGGTCAGACATACATCTGGACCACTGATCTACATACTCTACCGCTCCCATCAGAATGGCAACATTAACTGCTGAATGGGAGGGTCCACACCATAATATAACAATAATAAATAAATTTTACATACCCATTGTGTATTGCTGCTCTGGGATCTTTACTGGTTTTTACTTTCAACATGAGCAGATAAAAGGCAAAGAAAAAGATGGCCAAGGCAAAGCTGATCCGATATACAGCTTTATAACCGACCTGCACATTACAATCTTTATCTGCCTTTATATCGGCCACGTTGATTTTAAATCCCCCTTCACAGAATCCAGGAATCTGGAAAAAAATAATTTCAATGTTATAGGAACACCCACATTTAAACAGAGATTCTATCCCCACAGGAAAGCCTGGATTTATAAAACTGATTACTTCAACAATTTCAAGACTATCCTGTGGGATTGTTCTCTTTGCCTTCCAATTAATTTACCATCCTGTCACCAAATAGTATAAACAACTTGCATTTTGGAAATAAAAGTGAAGTGCTCTCTTTGCATTTTTCTACTGATGAGGTTATCTCCCATTTCCCCATGAATTTCATGTTACAACTCACTCCTTCCAAAGGCCTAGTTCAGTTTAAATGTTTAAATCTAGACATACATGGACAGCAAATGTTTTAGGGGCACCCTTTTAATATCTGTTTTCTGGTTGTTAAGACTAGAACCTAAAGATGTTCACTTTGACCTCCTGTATTTCCAGAAAAGGACTAATACCTTCATATTCTGTGTCTTGACTATACCCCAAATGACAATGAACTTGACTGACTTTCCTAACAGTGAAGAGATAAATAAGAACATTAATGTCAACTAAAATGATCAGTACATTAAGGGTTCTGTTCCTTCTACTAACCTTCTTCAGGGGACCTTGCATCTCTTCCCTCAGCATGATGCAGGATGCGATCGTGCCCAGGATGAGAATAAAAGCATAAATGAGGCGAGTCACAGTGGAGTTCTTACTGTTGGGACAGCAGCTACACAGCAAACATGATGCACCACCGCAAAGGCATGGAACCTGTAATAAGTACATATGACCATCTGAGACCTTTCAGTGGACTCCTTTATGACACAAGTATCACAGAACAGAAAACGAAGCACACCAGGCACTGACGGTTTTAATAGAGAATTACAACCAAGGGGTCGAGGGTTCGATTCCAGGCCAAGGGCACCTATGATTGTGGGTTTGCTCCCCGCTCCGTCCCTGGTCCAGGCGCTTGAGGGAGGCAACCAGTCAATGTGCCTCTCTCACATCTATGTTTCTCTCTCTCTCTTTCTTTCTCTCCCCTTCCCTCCTTCCCTTCTATTCTCTCCAAAGGGCAATGGAGAAAATATCTTCAGGTGAGGATTAACAACAACAACAAAAGCATGGGCTCTGGATTCAATGTTATTTCTGCCACTTTATCTCAGCAAACCCTTTTTCTCCATCTGTAAAATAGACTCAGTAACAAAATCTTCCTCCTTCACACATGACTGTATTAAATAAGCATTCAACACAGTACCTAAAACATGTTAAAAGCCCAATAAATTTTACTTATATTCACACAGGGATCATATTGAATTTAAAAACAACATATCTTAATATTGAGAAAAATACAAACCTAACTGCACTTGCTATTTACCGAGAATCCTAGTTACTAAATCTGCTATTACAGCATAAAGCAACATTACCTGGAAACCCTTATAAATTATGATAGCAAGGGCTATTTAACTCCATTCAAGAGTAACCTGGAGCCCTGGCCAATATGGCTGTTGGTTTGAGCGTGATCCTGACCACCAAAAGGTGGCAGGTTTGATTCCCAGTAAGGGCACATACCCAGGTTGTGGGTTCAATCTCTGGTCAGGGCACATATGGGAGGCAACTAATCGATGTTTCTCTCTCACATCAATGTTTCTCTCTCTCCCTCCCTTCCTCTCTCTAAAATTGATAAAAATAAATCAATAAATATATAGTAACCTGGAAATTCCTCAAAAAATTAAACACAGAATTACCACATGACCCAGTAATTCCACTCCTAAATATACACCCAAAGAACTGAAACAGGTATTCAAATAAAAGTTTGTACATGAATGTTCAAAGCAGTACTATTCACAACTGCCAAAAGGCAGAAACAACCCAAATGCCTATCAGTTGATGAATGGATAGGTAAAATGTGGTATATCCACACAATGCAATATTTTTCAGCCATAAAAATGAATCAAGTACCTCCTGTGTAAAGATACTTGATGTGTGGCCCGGGCGGGTGAGGCTCAGCGGTTGAGCAGCGACCTGGGATCCAGGGGATTGCGGTTTGATTCCCAGTCAGGGCACATGCCCGGGTTGCGGGCTCGATCCCCAGTTGGGGGGCATGCAGGAGGCAGCTGATCAATGACAACTCTCTCATCATTGATGTTTCTATCTCTCTCTCTCCCTCTCTGAAATCAATAAAGATATATTTTTAAAAAACACCTTTAATTAAAAAAAAAAAAAGATACTTTATGTGTGGAAGAAACCTGTTCTACTATATGTTATGTTACTTCCTTATCTCTAAATGACAACTCTATTCTTCTGGTTGCTCACTCCAGAAACCTTGGAGTCATCCTTGATGCCTTCTCTTTTTCCAAAACCCTCATCCAATCTGTCAGTACATCAGCTCTATCCTCAGAATATACCCAGAATCTGACCACTTTCATAGCATCCTTAGCTATCCTTTGGTCTAAGCCACTAATATCATCTCTCATCTGGATTAAATGCAATAGCTCCTATTTCACTGCTGTAGCAACCCACTCATAACCTAGAGTTAGTATAAAGATTATGTTAAGATGAAAACATTTGAGATTCAGAACAGATGCAGAAAAAAAGCCTTCTCAGAGCTTTCCTCATCTGACTAAAAGCAGCAACTTCTCTCTCCAAGGGAGTTTTATGCCCATGAAGAAGACAAAAAGACCTCTGCATCCACACAAACAAGTATTATCACAAACTTTCTTATCTCCTGTTTGTTCTCCTACAAATCCACTTGTCTTTCCAAAGAAAGAGAAAACATATTTGTTCTTCCCATAGAAGCCCTTTTCTCCCACCTCCTTTTCCCCTATTAGGATAGGAAGATAAGCCCTACATTCTAACCACCCCTCTGAGTTGTTTATCACCGAGCACTCGTGTGTGGGTTGCACACATAAACAAACTCTTTTTTCTCCTGCTTATCTGTCTTTTGCCAGTTTAATCCACAGGCCCATAACTACTAAGGGTGGAAAGTTTTTCCTCCCCTACACTGCTTTACCCATTCTTTTCTACCATCTGTTCTCCACACAGCAAGCTTGTTAAAACATGGTCAGATCAGATCATTCCTCTTTTCTGTAATGGATCCCCATAGCACTTAAGAGTAAAAGCCAAAGTCCTTAAACTGGCCTACAAGACAGGAGAATGGAGATCTACAAGATTTGGCTCCCTGCTGCTTTCTGACTTCATTTCCTATTATTCTTCCCCCCATTCAATCCATTCTCTGGTACCTTAACTCCTTGCTGTACCTAGTGAACAAAAGGGATTCTTAAAATATGAAAGTGATTTCTAGGTAGAAGTGCTTTGATGGCATCAGTTCAAATCTTAGTTTTACATCAAAGCCAAAATGCGTTTCAGGTTATTAGGATAGGAAAGACTTCTTTCTTTCAAATTACTAATTCACTCTTTAATTAATGATCTTAACTATATTTTTTCCTACTTCTATTTTGTAAATAGTGAGTTTGACCCACTAGGTGGATTGTTAAAATCAACTGTCCAGGATTTTTTTTTAATGTGGTAGAAAAATTGTACAGCAGATGGTAAAGGTAAGAATTATTTCATGAAACATTTATTCACTTTATCCCACAATAGCTCTCCAGGCGAGGGATGCTGGGGTGATTATCCTCGTCTTATGGCAAGAGATAAATGACTTGTACAAGGTCCCAAAGTTTAGGGACCTTGGCTTCCAATTCTGAATAATAATCTACAAGGACTTCTTCCCCTTGTACCAGAACTGCACATAGGCCTCGGTTAAAATGACAGCTCTGCCACATACTCTGTAGCTTTGGCAAATCCCGTGCTACGGGATAAAAAATATTATTCAAGCCACGCAACTTAAATGGCGCCGAAATGAACCAGAGAGCTCCTGCCTTGGGAACTCAGTCCTTGGTCCTGTTCCAGCCGCGGGTGAACCCAGAGGCCCGAAGGCTCGCGGGGGCGGGGCAACAGAAATTGTAAACAATGGCGGCCTGGCCTCCGACGTTCTTCAGCAGGCCCGGAGAGGGAGCCCCTGATCCCGGTAGCCCGGCATCGCGGATCTTGGCCCGGGCCCCTGGAGACGCTCTGCAGCTCAGGACTGGTCCCTCCAACCCGCGGGCCTCCGCAGCCGAGACCACTTCGAGTCTGATCTTGGGGCTCACTATCGCCCCCCCTCGTCCAACTCACAGCTCCGAAGGAGGCACCAGACCCGAACTCACCCAGCTGGCCAGGGAGAAGGCGCCCAGCACAGCTCCCATGGTGACGCTGGAGATGGAAGTCGCGGACCGAGGCTTCTAGCGCGGTGTTAACTGCCAGTTGAGATTCTCCTCAGAAACGCGACGGTTTCCCAGGCCGGAAACACGCGGCTCGCGTCCTTCCGTGGCCCCGCCCCCCGCCCTAGGCCACTGCCTTTGGTAGAGGGAGAAGGCGGGGCTAGGGGAGGCGGGGCTAGGGGAAGGCGGGGCTAGGGGAGGCGGGGCTAAG